AGTCCTTTATAGAGGCTGAGTATATAGAATTAGGATATATTGTTGCTAAAACAATACAGATTTGATACGTTCCGGCTAAGCTTGGCATTCTATCATGTTACACTACTTTGTGACAATATTAGTGCTACTTACATCACCGCAAACCCTGTTCTTCATGATCGCAGAAAACACATAAAGGTTGATTATCATTTTGTTTGAGAAAGAATTGTTCATGGTGATTTACTTGTTCGCTATGTTCATACTCATTTCCAATTGGCTGATATATTTATTAAAAGGTTATCAACTCAGCTGTTTTAGTTTTTGAAGTCCAATCTTTCTATTCATCCACCCGATCAACAGACGTAATAATGTATATGTAAGGTTATTTCGTAAACAAGAATGTATGTGTAATTATGTAATTATATTGTGATATAAATATAAAGGAGGCTCCCTATCTAGGGCAAGCGGACACTATTCTATCGAAACTCCTTTTCTCCTCTCTCAATATTTCTTACCAACAACAATTTCAACTCCTATCCTCTTCAACTATTTTTCTCATCCAAAACAAATGTAAATGCCTCACCTTGAATTTTTTAAGGGAAATGTCATCATGTTTTTGTATCATGTACGTCATTGTACATATTAGAAAATGAAAGTGGAAGAAAGGAAAAAAAGTCAAAAGAGGAAAATTATCAAAATTATAAAGTATTGGCCATCATTTTTTAGGTTGATAAATAAATTATCTTAAAAACTTATGGACCAATAAATTAAGTATAGGAATTCAGAGAAGGATTTGAAGGTTGAGAAGGAGTTCTTTTTATCTTTAACAAAGTACCATTTTGTAGAATCCTAAAATTATGTCAATTAGAAATAAACAGTCATAATAGTTTTGATCGTAGCTTTTTTGTTAGGACTTTTACGTTTTTATTGATAATAATTCTATATTCAAAGAATTAGAAATGAGTGGTGGCCATCGTGGACATAAATATAGATATAGTTGGATCATATATCTAATAACTTAAACTTTTAGATACAAATATTTTTCTTGGATACCTATTTTTTGCACCTCTATACATGACATGTTAGAGTTGATGGTGCTAATTTGGAGATAAAATGAGAAATTTTCAAGTGATATTTAGTGGAATAAAAAAGGTTTAGATAGACTATATATGCAATAACCCCCTAAAGTTCAGAGAATTTAGTAGAATAAAAAAAGTTCTGGAGGAGTATAATTGTCCCATCCAAACAATGGTAGAGCTAGTGTCCAATGATTTCATAGGACATTAGTTATCTACTTTATACATATTTTTATTAATTTTTCTTTCATTTATTACTTATGATAGACACTAGTAGATTTTGAAGAATGCACCATTATAAGAGATAAAATTATAAAATTGTCAATGTAAATTGCAAATATAACTATAGTATATTATATGAGAACACCACAGACATATGAATTTTGGCTCACTGCCCCAAAGTTTAAAAGGAGACAGGTGAGTTTCTGAAATTAAACCTTTTTTCCCTAATAAATGATCTATACAATAATCTAAGGATATTCTAGAAACATGTATTTAGGCCATTTTACGATTTAATCAAGCCCTTAGCTAATGTCCACCTATCTAAGTTTAGGCCCGGGCGTAATATTGGAGTGTTAATGGGCTGATATCATGTTCTTAACTTGCTTGAAAGATACTAGAACTTGGATCAATATTAAAAATTAAGTGTATTATTTCATCTTTTATACGTTTGATAAAATGATGATTAAAATATAATTGAAAATTGAAGCGTGTTACCTCTGAGAAAATGAATGAGAATTGAATAGTAAGTGAATAGAGTTGCGATAAATTAGTTTTTATTCTTTCTCTTTGACATTTCACTTCAACTACTTCAATAACCATATTTTCTCTCTTCTATTGTTCGAACAAGATTAGCAAATACAAGTAATGAAAATTTATTCTTTTAAGAAAATAATTGCTTAACCATTTTACATTATGTTTACTTTTTATTGCCAAACACTAGGATATTACAATAGGAGTGTTTACAAAAGTAAAAACTAATTAAGAGAAAGTACTATTTTCTCATTATTATTCTATTTAAGATTTTTGTTTTGAATAATGTAAAGTGAAAAGGATAGATATTTGGATGAGGCATGTGACATGCACTTTTTATTTCTTCATCTCATTGAAAAGGTGCAAACTAATATTAAAAAATGAAATGTAAATCCTATAAAAAGAAGTGAAAGGAAAATAGTAGAGACTTCAGAATTATTTTGTTTTTCTCTTTTGGTCCAGTCTCTCAGAAATAATAACATTATTCATTTTCAATCTAGTTAGCTTTACAATTATCAAAAAAGAAGAAAAGAAGGCTAACTAAATTTAATACAAAATTTAGGCTAAATTACTAGATAGGTATTAAAAGTAGACCACTTTTACTTGTTCGGTATTAAAAGTTGATCTGGCATATTTTTGGTATTAAAAGTTGATCACTTTTACTTGTTTGGTACTAATAAATCTCGTCGACGGTGAATTTTTCTGGTAAGAACTAGTTTTTGCTAGAAATTTTTCTTTTATCACTGCCCTCTTGAAGTTATTATATTTTACACCCTTAATTACCTTCAAACTCTCCAAACTTAAATTTCTTCTACTCCTTTACTAATAAGATCCTCCTTCACCTTCTCTCTCTCCTATCAATCGAGTCCAGTCTTCTCCTTCAACCTCTTCCAATTAAAATCCAAACTCTAACCCAGACTCTCTTCTCTCTCATCATTTGTGTGACGCTCCTGTTTTCACACGTGGCTGCAGTCCAAGGTGAATTCAGAGATGTCAAACTTGTCATACCCACATTGTGCAATAACACGTTTCACCAATCATAATAATATCCTCTAGTGGAATCAAAAAAAGTGCAAGTACAAAACAAACAAAATAAAGAAATAAATGTAATAGACATGATATGGAAAGTGATATCTCATAAATAAAAATCATGTCTCAACTGAAATACATCTGATATATGGAATAAAGAAAATATCTCAAATTGAATCAACTGGAAATCGTACTAAGCCACACTGCATTTACAAAATAAAAATAAAACTTTAAAGTCTGAATGAAATCATAGAAAATTATATTGTGGAGCTTCTACTAATAACTCATGTGACGATTAACGACCTTACTAGTCGACTACTCTGAGTAGTAGTCGACTACTAACAACTCAGATTCAGGTTTGTGCATGATTTCGTGCATGATTCTCATCTATACTCACATATATATATTGGATTGATCTCAAATCAATCCCTAGTATACTCAAACATCAAAATATATTATTTACAACGATATAATATACTTAATACTATTTGTCACAATTTATTCAAACTTTTAGGGTTTTACAATTTGAGTTAGAGTTAGAGTACTTTGAATTGGGAGAAGTTGAAGAAGAAGATGTGGCTCCATTGGTGAGAGAGAAAGAGAGTGTGAAGAAGGATCTTATTATGTAAAAGGATAGAAGAAATTTGAGTTTGGGGAAGTTATAAGAGAAAAATGGTAAAACATATAATAACTTTAAGAGGTCAGGGGGTGAAAGAAACTTTCCTAGTGAAAACTATAGTTACTGCTAGAAAAGTTTATCGACAATGAGATTTAGTACCAAATAAATAAAAGTGATCTACTTTTAATACCAAAAAGATACTAGAGTAACTTTTAGTGCCAAACAAGTAGAAATGATCTACTTATAACACCAATATGGTATTTTATTTATGGCCTATTTGTTTGCTTGAAAGTAGATATGAAATAGCTAAGGAAAATAATATTGAGGCTACTTTCTTCTTCTTCGCAAATTGTTTTCATTATATGTTATTCTGATCCTTCCTTAAATGCTAATATGATGTTTATGTCACATTCATATTTCTTAAAATTTTCTACCCTTCAATACTTAGAAGTAGCTAAAATTAATGCGATTGAATATGAAAGAAATAATTTTTTAAAATTAATCTCTCCATTTATACTTCAAAAAAATCCAGTAAAACACCTCTCTTTATAATTGCTATCCAAAGTAAAAAGATGAATGATGATGAAACATTACTATTTACACTACTTTCAACATGTGTGAAATAAATAAAAAAGAATGACTTACAGCTATTTCCTTTGTGATTTTGAAAGTTATTTTTTAAATTTACTTCACACTTCTAATTAGGAGTGCAAACAGTTCATTTACGACTTAGATATGAGACTTGATATATCTATATCCGCTTACCAATCACGAGTACAAATACTGATATACCTCGATAAGGAAATTTTATATCCATATCAGTTAAAATTAGATACGTATGTGTACATGCATGAGCATAAATAAGCAGATATATAAATAGATACAAATTGGATACGAGAGAACCAAATAATATTGAAAATAATAAAGTTCATATGGTACAAGAGAGTCCATTAAGATGTGCACTATAGCAAAAAAAAAAAAAAAAAAATCTAAGACTAGATCTCTTGATACTCACAATTAAGCTGAAGTCCACTAATCTAAGGAGTAGAAATGTTGCAAGTATATGACCATTATATCTTTGAATATTTCGGATATAAATTCAGATATTTTACCACATATTTGTATCTCTAGCAATATCATCGGAAATTAAATTTTAGGAACCATATTCATATCCTAGCAAATATGGAGATGGATTTTTTCTGGGATGCCGATATTTTTTTTGCGCCCCTACATCTGATGTTCTTCTTTCAACCAAACAGTTCTTTACTTGAAACAGAACACTCTCGGCGGAGACATAGCATGCACGTAAGGCCGTTTGCAATTGGAGATGGATGTGCCATAGGGCTGCATGGTTCGGTCCAAACCGGAAAAACCGGTCGAACCGATAGAAAATTAACGGTTCGGTTTGATTTTATTTATAAATCGCTTCAGGTCGAGCTAAAATTTCTTCAAACCGAACCGCTCGAACCGACCGCTGGCTTAACATTAAGATTTTAACCCGTAACCCATACCCATTACCCGACCTGTTCTTCATAAAATCGCTCATTCTCAAGACATCTAAACGCTAACTCTCTCCAAGTCTCCCAAGTCCAACCTCACCCTGCAGCCGCCGCCACCCGCCACCCCACTTCGCCCGCTAGTACCAAGTAGTCTCAACGATTCATCTCCAAACCCTCGGAGAGAACGAATCCATCTCCTTGTGGTTCTCCTTCCAATTTCTGGTGTGAACCCTAATCTCTCTATTATTTCTTTAGTTTTTCGTCTATTCTCGATCTATTTGAACTTCTGAGCTGAAATTTCGGTGCAAGAGGAAAATAATTTTGAGGTAATTTAGGATTTGTGTTGCTTAGTTTAAACAGATCTGGGACATTTCGTTGTATTTGTTGTAGACCTGATAGAATATTGTTAGATTTAAGGTTTTAAGTGATGATTTTGTGCAAATTTGTTGATTTTTTTAGTTGAAATATCTTCTTGACCTGATTTAGATCTGCTGAAGGTGTATTGATGTAGTAATTTGATTATGGAGGTCCTTGATGCAGTTTCTTCTTGAGTTAAAGGATAATAGAAGGATTATGGAGGTCCTTGATGCAGTTTCTTCTTGAGTTAAAGGATAATAGAAGGATGAACAATATATTATACATATTTATTTAGGTTAGCTAGGTATTTGTTTTGTGCTGATGATCTAGGTATTCATCAAGGATGAACAGCATATGATAGATAGCTAACAATTTTATGTGTTTACTAAAGTTGATTCTTAAGGTTGATCTATTTGTTTGAATTTACAGCCGCCATTGGGGGTAAAGACACGTTCATAAAAACTGCAAACCACCCCCACCCCCTCCCTTCTCTAAAGAGCATCGGAGGTCAATGGAGCGGTCTCTGGTCCTCTCTTCTCAGCTGGGCGTTAGCCATGGCCGTGCCCTTCTCTTAGACACCAGGCTTCATCTCAATCTTACCTCCTCCTCTTCTTCTTTTCTCAAGGTTAGGGTTTCTTCGTTGGTTAGATCAAAAGATTGCGCTTTGGTATGATCTTGTGATTTTTTTTTTCATCTTTTTATTTTTGTTGGTAGATTAAGAGTCGACAACATTTCGTGCCTTTGACTGTTCTAGAGACTTCAAGCACAAATTGCCAAGCATTTGAGGCGACGACTTACACGTAAGCCTTTTTAAGTTTTTTTCCATAAATTTAATTCAATTGTTTTTGTTTCTTTTGTGATTTCATCATTGGATCAAGCTTAATCAATTGAGTTTGACGACTTTGATAAATGATAATTTCAAATGAATTTGAGATTATCAATAATGTATCATGTACTATTTTATGTTTGATAGTTTCAACTGCTAACTACAAATGTAGTCAACAAAAATAACTAGTAGAAAATATTCCATTTCATAGGAGCAATAATGCATGATTAAGGTTAAACTTCTAAAGTTAGTTTGAGATTTTGTTAACTACAAACTTGCTGATTAATGAACGTGCTCAACAAAGAAATTTAGGCTCTATCTACATTAATCTTGAATTGTTCATGCAAACCATTATATATCTCAGGTCCTGTGTTGTATGAACTGTAGATGCCTACCTTGTTTCATAAAAGCAAGAAACTTATATATGATGCTTGATGAAAATATAATCAAGTTGATCATTTGAATAGAAGAAGACAATTTTCATGCTTTATACTAAGTAGTTATATCGTTTCTAATTTTTTGCAAATTTATCACCAATAACATCAGCTGAAACTTTGTCGAGTAACATAGTAGGCAGAACTAAACAATTTCAAGTTTCTTGCGTTCAAGAAAACATGCACAAACTTCACATATATTTCTTGCGGTTCACTTTTACCGTTGCAGTCTGGAGACTCACAGAATTACACATCTTTTGTTTTAGATATAGTGACATGTAGTGAGGTACGTAGAGACATGTAGTAGGGTCTTGGACATGGAGATATATAGTAGAGTCTCAGACTTGGAGACATGAGGATATATTAGTTGGAATATTGTTGAAGTAAAACTTAATCAACAATAATAGATAAAAGGAAGTTGATCAAATCATCAACAGTATTTCAATTAGTGTATTCTCTTAACAATGATATGCTCTTACAAATAATTGCTCTGCGAGAAAGCAGTTTTTTTTCATATAACATGCCATCGAGTCCTACATGTACACATATGGTCTCCACGGCTGGCATGGAAGTTCTTGGTCTTTTCATCAGGTCCTATATATAAGCCACGAGATTCACAATTTTTGTGTCAAATGGGACGTGGGAGTGGACACCTTATTATTTTTCTTAAGCTTGCAAAGATGACAATGAGAGGGGAATAACTTTGTGAAGATGTCAAACTGTCAGGGAGAGAAAATTTCAAGAGACAAGGTGGGAAGACGATGAAGCCAACAAGAGGAAAGTGCGGAGATGATGCTCCGACAGTAGCCCCTTTGACAACTCGAGGTTCAGGCTTTAGGAGAGAATTTCAAGAGTTAGAAACTTTATCCTGATACCATGTTTTGTTGCAGAAATGACTTCATTGAGGAGAGGGATAGTCTTGTTTTATTTGTAGTAAAGCAAATGGAATAAAATCACAGTGTTCCGACTAAACAAATTTTCTCTATTTTTTCTATATACTAACTCATAGTTGCATGGAACATGCGGCAATCTCTGGAACCATGACCTGGGTTCTATCATCTTGGATCGAAAAGTTTTAATCATCTGGATTGTGGGGGAATGTAACCTAGTTAGCCAACTCTGGCGACCGGTTAAAATTTGGAAAGGACAATCATTTTTTGAGAATAAAGAGAGTGAGAATTTGAGCAAATAAAGTGTGCATACATTAGTTGCAGCATGAGTTCCAAGGTTCTTTTATCATTGCAGATATCAACTAACATATTTCTTGAATTTGACTCTTTCAGAGACTCAAATTCCTATATTTAAAACCAAACATGAAGTCATGTTCCGTAACATACTGTATGAGCCTACCTCTCATCCCCTATTCTAAGTAACTGGCATACTACGCTCCTATTTCTGTTCCTGTTCCCATTTTAATGAATCAGATTGATCCACCTTCCATGTAAGTATGCAACTATGTACTAACTACTAAAACCACAATATTTAATGCAATTATAGTTGGGTCTGTTTTAACAATGCATTAGCATTATTGAACACCACACATAACATGCAGCAGTTAATCACGGTATAAACTTTCTTATGTGGTTGATGTCCTGCATCAATATTACCACTCAGATTGCTACTAAGAAAATACAATGAAGTCATCTCTTCTATAATTCTTATATAAGTTATATTTATTTGCTGAAATCTCATTTTCCTATGTTGGTTGGGTCTGTATAACAAAATTACATTTCTGCAAATAAACATAGCCTAGATAAGAATTATAGAAAAAAGGACTTCAATTATAGTTAGGCTTGTTTTAAGAATCCATTAGCATTCTTGAACATCACATACAACACGCAACACTTAATCCTAGTTCAATAATGCATTAGCATTATTGAACACCACACATAACATGCAGCAGTTAATCATGGTATAAACTTTCTTATGTGGTTGATGTCCTGCATCAATATTACCACTCAGATTGCTACTAAGAAAATACAATGAAGTCGTCTCTTCTATAATTCTTATATGAGTTATATTTATTTGCTGAAATCTCATTTTCCTATGTTGGTTGGGTCTGTATAACAAAATTACATTTCTGCAAATAAACACAGCCTAGATAAGAATTATAGAAAAAAGGACTTCAATTATAGTTAGGCTTGTTTTAAGAATCCATTAGCATTCTTGAACATCAAATACAACACACAACACTTAATCCTAGTACAGACTTTCCTATGTATTACCACTTAGATTGCTGCTAAGAAAATACATTGAAGTCATTTATTCTACAATTCTTATCTAGGCTATGATTATTTGCTAAAATGTAATTTTCATTCTTACAAGCTCAATGACACTTTATGGCAAATTTTGATGCGTTTAATTGGAATCCAACAGGGAAGCCTCTGAGTTGGCTGATATAAATTGGGACAATCTTGGATTTGGACTTGTGCCAACAGATTATATGTATATTGCAAAATGCTCTCAAAATGGAGCATTTTCCAAGGGTGAATTGCAGCGTTTTGGACCCATCGAGTTGAACCCATCATCTGGTGTTCTAAATTATGGGCAGGTTAGTGGCACATGTTATTTGTCTTTGTTAGTCATTAAACAAACAAAATTGATCCACGCGATGCTGCGACATTAGCATGGAAAAACTCGAAATAATGGTTTAAGGTATTTGGTTTAAAAATATATAGTGTACTTTTAGTAAGACACAACAAAATATTGAAAGCCACAACGAAATATAGTAATTAACACTATATACCAAACAATTGAACTACAACTAAGTTTTTTAATTAACTTGTTGGAGTAATTTAGATTTAAGAATTATTTTGATTGTGGACGGGTTTAAAAATAAATGGTGATAAAAGTTTGAATTATAGGCAAAAAACGCTTTTTGGAAGTAAGTGGATTTACAAATAAACGGCTGTAAAACTTTGGGGTTTATAGGTAAAAAATCTGTACATAGTTCCTGATGCCACACTGTTAGTGTGGAATAGAAAAAATAATGGTTTAATAATGTTGAATTTTTTTAAATCTTGACATAGGGTTAGAGCCAAAAGTGTGGCTTTTCTTAAATTATAGTAATAGATTATACTTAACCACTTAGAACAAAAATATACCAAGTTGCAAAAGCTTTAGCAACTTATGCCCTTATACCTTTGATTTAAATATACATGTCTACTTAACGAGTTGAAACAAAAATATGGCAAGTTACTGCAAAATATAGCAACTTACATGGCACACTAAACTTTTGAAATACAAAATAAATTTAAAACTAATATAAATGAAGGTTAATTGGTTTCTAGGTTGCACGGGTATGTGTATGGACACGGGTACGGGTATGAAACACGACAAATTTGTAAAAAGTAGGGTACGGGAACACGGCTATATAAATATTTTTATACACATATATAATAAATTAGAATTGATAATTTATATGAGAATGAGGATGAGAACTAAAATTGCTATAATATTATTTTGTGGGTTAAAAATTGTTGAATAACTGATTCAAAATTAGTTATTAGGTTGTTTCCTATTTTTCAGGATAGTATGTTAGCAGTGGTTTAGTTGTTTACTTAGTCAATTGTCATGTGTTTTTTGAATTGTTTGTTACTGATTTCTAGGAGTTTAAGTTAGTGTAAGGCCTATATATTTGGCCATTCTCTCTGTTAGCATGACATGAGTAAATGAAATATTTTCTTTAATCAAACTTATATTCTTGTTTTCTCCTCTTTTTTTCAATATGGTATCAGAACTCCAGTTTTCTTGTGTTTGTGAGGATTTAAAAAATATATAGAGTGATCAACCTTTGTTTTTTAATGGCATCCAATAATTTTTCGCTTCCATACCCCATCCTCAATGGAGACAATTATCAATCTTGGGCTATCAAGATGAAATCTCATTTAAAAACTTTGAGTTTATGGGAGGCTGTTGAGAATGACTATGAGCCGACCCCTGTTCCACAAAATCCAACCCTAAACTAAATCAAAAAGCATGACGAAGAAAAAGCAAAGAAGCTAAAAGCCATCTCTTGTATTCATTCGGCCATGTCGGACGGAATCTTCACAAGTATAATGACTTGTGAATCACCTAAGGAGGCGTGGTAGATGCTAAAGGAAGAGTTCGAGGGTAACGATCAAACAAAATTGATGCAAGTTCTGAATCTCAAAAGGGAATTTGAGATGCAAAAGGTGAAGAAAGGTGAGGCCATCAAAGAGTATGTCGGTAAGGTTATGGCTATTGTCAATCAAATTAGATTGCTTGGTGAAATATTTTCAAATGAAAGAGTGGTTGATAAGATTTTAGTGACTGTTCCCGAAAGGTATGAGTC